TTTCTTTCTTTCTTTCTTTCTTTCTTTCTTTCTTTCTTTCTTTCTTTTTTTTCTTAACGTTTATTTGAGAGAGAGCACAAGGAGGGGAGGGGCAGAGAGAGAGAAGGAGAGAGAGAATCCCAAGCAGTTTCCTTACTGACAGAGGGTTCAATCTGACTAACCATGAGATCATGACCTGAGCTGAAATCACGAGTCAGACACTTAACTGACTGAGTCACCCAGATGCCCCAATAGAGTCTATTTCTGATGGCAGAACTAGAGGTAGAGAGGGGAGCAGGAAAGGTTGTGGGGAAATGTAGGGTCATACTGGGACATAAAAAATTAAAGAGGTTAGGTTGACCTGATGCTTTTGAAGCATTCTATTACTCTGCCGTGGATTTGGGGTTTCATGTTGGTATGAGCTAAACTAAGTTCTCCATGGAGTCATCTTACAGCTGTGCCCTGTAAAGTAGGATAGGAGGGGAATATTTTGGGGAGGGGAGAGCCTGGCATGGAGGAATCAGGAATTTGTACCTGTCCTTCCTCTGAAAACAAGTAAGTGGAAAAAGGTGTCATTAAGGGAACTAGGTGGCAGGTGAAGAGAATTGGTGTTAGGCTTGATATTAAGAGTCAACTTGCCTGGGCATCAAGGTACCCAGACATTTGGTCAAACATGGTTCTGAGGCTGTTTATGAGGATGCTTCTGGGTGAGATTAACATTTCTCTTTTTGTTGTTTTTTAAAAAAATAATCTCTATACACAACATGGGGCTCAAGTTTAGAATTCTAGATCAAGAGCCATGTGCTCCACCAACTGAGCTACTCAGGTGCCCCAGAGGTGAACATTTCTGACTGGGGACTGAGTAAAGCAGATTGCCCTCTCTAATGTGGGTGGGCTCAATCCAGTCAGCTGAGGGCCTCAAAAGAGCAAAAAGGTTGCCCCTCCCACATGTAAGGGGAATCTCCTTGACTGCCATTGAGCTGGGAAGATTTTTACTGCCTTCAGACTCTGAACTGAAACATTGAATTGAAACATTGCTTCTTCCTGGGTCTCCAGCCTACTGACCTTCTGAATAGAACTACACTACCAGCTCTCTTGGGTCTTCAGCTTGTTGACTGCAAATCTTGTGATTTGTCAGCCTCCATAATCACATGAGCCAATTCCTCATAATAAGTTTCTTTATATATCCGTATCTATATTTATATTCATATCTGTCTCTATATCTGTCTGTCTTGATATCTCTGTATCCTATTGGTTCTGTTCCTCTGGAGAACCCTGATTAATACAGCTGGAAATAAGGGCCTGAGGGGTCAAATGTCCATGTTTCCTATGGTCTGCATGTGGATTACATTAAAAAGAGGTGGGTTTGGGTCATCTAAAAGAGATATCAGGGGCGTCTGGGTGGCTTAGTCAGTTGAGGTTTGGAGTCCTGATTTTGGCTCAGGTCATGACCCCAGGGTCGTGGGATCAAGTCCCATGTCGGGCTTCATGCTGAGCATGGAGTCTTTTTGAATTTCTCTCTTTCTCTCCCTCTACACCTCTCCCTGAGTTGTGCTCTCTCTCTCTCTCTCTTAAAAAAATAAATAAATAAAAGAGACTCCCCCAAAACAGTCTTTCTAAGGAGTGGTGGTGGACCATCTAAAAGCTTCAAGGTGAGATGCAGTATGTGGAATAGGAAGTGGTGGAGAAAGCAGTAGTCAGCCCCTCATCACTCATTATGAAAGGAAACGGGAGGTTGGAGGTCCTCAGGAGTGGGAACTCAGAAAGTCCACAGCATTAACTAGGAAATACTACTTTTGTCCTCTAACCCACCTCCTCCATTGACTGGACCATAGAAGAGCCACAAAGAGCAGTTACAAAGTGTAGAAGGAGATAGATCTAGAAAGAAAGAATACCTCTTCATCATCACACACAGGTAGATCTAGAAAGAAAGAATACGTCTTATGCCACACAAACCCACCCTGGCCTTTCCCATTTGAGACTTGGGCTCTTGATTCAGGCCTGAGCATGAAAAGAGGGGGGGAATGGGGTCATAAAGAGAAACTCTGAATCAAATGATGGTGTATTATGTTAATATTAGATAATACTGAGCTTTTTATTTTTATTAAAAAAAATTTTTTTTAGCATTTACTTATTTTTGAGAGACAGAGACAGAGTGTGAGTGGGGTCAAGGCAGAGAGCGAAGGAGACACAGAATCCGAAGCAGACTCCATACTCTGAGCTCCCAGCACAGAGCCTGATGTGGGGCTCGAACTCATGAACCATGAGATCATGACCTGAGCTGAAGTGGGACGCTTAACCAACTGAGCCACCCAGGCACCCGAATATTGAGGTTTTTAATAGCCAAATATGGTCAGAAAAACTAGGATCCCTGCCTAAGATTTCATGCAAGGATAGAGGAGAATAATTTGACAGAAGTTTGAAAGAATGGTGAAGAATGAGTAAAACTGAAAGAGTAAAAGTAAAACTTTTGCCCTTGACTGGGTCCAGCTTATTCAATTAACCAGGTATATTCGGTTAGCCAAAAGAGAAATTTTTGGTGTGCGAATTTGTAAAACTTCTTATGACTACCGTTACTATTTTATTCCAAAAAGTATAATGGAGACCTAAGAGCGCCCTTGATTTAAGCCTCAGGAGATTTGCTTTCTCTTTTTCTTTCTTCCAATGACTCTGCCAAAGGCCAGCAAACTCATTTCCTGAATCAATTGGATGATTCAAAATTTCTCATCTCCAAAATATAGCCTTAAAATCCTTTAAACAGAAATTGAATATTGTAGCTTTGTATGTATCATTGTAATAACATAAGCATCAAAATGACACCAAGACTTAATGAGCCAACGAGGTCTGTGATTAATTCAGGAAGGTAGGAGTCTGTTGAAGAGGAGGGGGTGGTTCCTGCCAGGAATCTAAATGCTTTTCATCAAGGAAAGACACATCCTCATGAGATGCAGATCATGACAGTTTCAGGGCTATAGCTTTCAAACACTGCCCCTATTTCCAGGAAACAATACATTTGCCCTTACGTATTCATAACAATCTCTGAGTGTTTAGCAACTCGCTGCTTTTTGCCAGGCAGCAAAGTTCTCTGCTAAAATGTTGTCAGATCATCAACCCACAAGCTATAAACCACCTACCCACTAGCTCTGTTCTTCAACACTAATTTTCTTTTAATGCCTGTTTGTTTGTCCGGGGGGTGGGGGAACAGGGAGCTATTATGATGATTTATAGCATCTGCTTGATCTCCAAGATTTGATTTGTTTAAATATGGCGTCTGGTATTCAGATGGCATTTGCAAAGTTTGCAAATAAATGAATATCTTTTCTTGAAATTGAACCGAGGAAATGATTAATTCCTTTGGTTTCTTCTTGTTTGTCTGAAAGTGGGGGTTCAGAAAGCATCAAAATGGAAGGCACCTGTTGTGCCAGCCTTAACTTTAACAGTCAAACAGAGCATAAAATCTCCTGGATTAGTAATAGAGCTTTGGTTTTCCAAAGCAGCCTCTGCATTCTCAGGACCAAATTAATGGGCGGAATTTCAGTCCACCAGTCTCATCTTGAATTTTCTACATGATGCTACTTTCAGATGTCCACATCCTAAGTCTCCGTCCTTTACAGGAAGGTTTCTTTCATCTTCTTCTATTCTATTCTTTTCTTTCTTCCCCTTCTTCTTCTGCTTCTTCTTCGTTTTGTCTGACATATTCAAAGGAATATATCTGACGGAATAGTGATAGCTCACAGAATCTCCAAGAAACCAGAGAACAAGGGTCTGCAAACAAAGAAGAATAGGAAAGGCCAGTTGAATAATACCACAGACATAGCCACACACCAGCATCATCTGGGAAGGGTACTAGTGCCCCTGCGGAGTGAGAAACCCTGTAGCTTTGCACTGCTGGCCCTGGACACTGGACATGCCAATGGCTCCATGACTTCTGCTGCCCTTGGACACAGGTGTTACATTCAGGATTTTTTTTTTAAGTATAGTTGACATACAATGTTACATTAGTTTCAGGTGTACAACATGGTGATTCAACAATTCTACACATTATGCAATGCTCACCACTATATATGTAGTCGCCCTACATTATTAGAATATTATTGACTGTATCTCCTATGCTATACTTTCCATTTCCACGGTTTGTTTATTTGTTTATTAATTTAATTTAATTTTTTTAAAGATTTTATTTTTAAGTAATCTCTACACCCCATGTGGGCCTTGAACTCATAATATCCCCGAGATCAAGAATCACATGCTCCACTGGCTGAGCCAGCCAGGTACCCCTCCACGGCTTACTTATTTTATAATGGGAAGTTTACACCTCTTAATCCCCTTCAATTATTTCACCCATCCCCCACCTCCCCTCCCCTCGGGCAACCCTCCCCCCTCCCCCCCCCCCAGCCTCCTGCCGCCCCGGTTTGTTTGTACTTCCATTTCTACCTTCCAGGTCTCTGGTAACTTCTCACGTGCTGATAAAATGCTCATGTCTTGTGGTTGCAGATTCTGTTTTTCAGAACGGAAAGATGAGAACCTTAGTATTACCAGCAATGATTCAGAACCTCACAAAAAGTTCAGTGGGCACCTTTCCCGGGTATATCAGAAGCCTTGGCTAGAATGTATGACTTTCTCTCTTTGGGTCACGTATTGTGACATCATTATTGCTTGTTGCCATTCTAGTCCAGAAGTTTTAAAAAGGCTTTCTTTCTGTTTGCTTTCGTTTCAGTTAAGTAGTCAATAACCATGTGGGCCTAAAAGGCAACAATGCAGCTGGTGATGGGTGTAAGAGATAGGCAGAGAAAAAAATGGCAAAAATAGAACGTAATGGAATTAATTGAGGGAAAGAGAAAGAGGAGAAAGCCAAGAGGAAGAGAAGAACGAGCAAGATGGGAGTATCACACATGCGGGAGATGACCTGTGATCTGATTATTAACTAATAAAAAGCATAGATAATGTACAGGCCTTCTGCACTTTCTTATAATGTGGCAATCACCAGAACATTTCATTTTCCTTAGTGTATTTGATAGTTTGGGCCTCGGTCATTTAATTTTTGAAACAGGAGGTGTTACGTGTTACTGGATTTTGAAGCGAAGTAAGTTAAATCAGATAAACAAAGCATTTAGCCTTTAGCTAAATTTAGCATTTAGCATTTAGCATTAGTGTATTGTAGTTGTAATTGCCCAATGAAATGTTAGATTCCCTTCCCTTTGACCCAATAGGTTAATGTTTTATCACGAAAGGAAAAGAGCAGGAGGAAAACAAAAACAAAGGCAACAGGATGAAATCTATAAATAATGACATAACCGCCTTTATCTGTGGATTCTAAACTCTTCTTCTTCCATGACTTCTTTTATCAGGGCTGTCAGCTAATAATAATATTAGCTGATTTGAGTTTTTCCTGTTCTGCTTCCTCTATTAGAAGAAACATTATTTGCTTTGCTTTGGTGGGGGGAGGGGAGAGTTGTTTTCACGGAAGCCTGTTATGCTGCGCTAAGGGGAGTGGACTGTACTCTGCAGGCTGAGGAGCCAGCAGCATTGTTCAAGCTCAGAAGGCATCCAACAGGCTTTTCATTTTGCAATATCCACCTGATGTAGGAAGGGAGATGAGAAGAATGAGGCTGTAAGCTAGAAATCATTTACGCAACAATATGCACCCAGTGCCTATTTTATGTTAGGTGCTAGGGAGACAACGTCCCTGACCACTCGGAGCTGACTATATAGTAGGGGAGGCAGACCCTCAAATTAAGAATGTAAATACATATTTGGGTAAATGTAATGAAGGAAAAGGAAGGAAAGACTCTATGAATGAAAGGAAATGCTTCTCTGAGAAAGTGATGCTTGGGCTTGAGGATAAATAAAGAAGTCAGACAGAGAAGAATAAGGAAAGACCTTATTCAGGAAGGAGAAACTCGAACGTGCGTATGTGCTGAAGGGAATGATGACGTTGTGCGAGGGGGGTTTAGGAGAGAGGCAAAAGACAGGATAATTTATGGAGTAAGAGTCCTCAGAGGATGTGTTCAGTGCTGGGGTAGAAGAATTAGCCTTGGCCAGGAGGAAGGTCACCATTCGCTTCGGGATAGGACAGAAGGAGAGGGAATGGAAACATGTATTGATAGGTTTATAGATGAAAGATAGGATATGGCGGAGTTTTTCTGGGATGGTCTCGTGTTCTTTGCGCAGTAGGAGAAGTGGTTGCTGAAGGTGAGGACAGCTTATAGAGTGGAGGGCTTGGTGAAAATGGATTGAAATGGCTTCCTTGGAAAACCAGAGGGAGCCATGGCAGGGGGATGAGGCTCCTGTCCTTCCTCTGAGGGATGCTCCCATAGACCCCTTTTCTCCCTTTAATTATTATATTTTCCAAGGAACTCAGTAGTGACATACAACACCCATGAGGACAAGCATAGGAGAATTCTCCCATTACACCTCTATGTCTTAAACAACAACAACAAAGAAAAATGGTACATTTATGCAGGCTTCCTTTCATCCACCCTTCAGTGAGACCCAATAATGATATTGGCAAAAATGAGTAATCTGAGAATATGGAGTGTGAGTGTCAATGTGGGCAAAAAGGAACACTGCTGGGGATGGGTGTGATGGTGTAGACTCATACAGCTATGAAGAGCCAGGTTACAATGTTTTGTAGAATTTAAACTTCCATAAACTATGTATGCCATAACAGCAAGAGACAGACCTTGAAGATAGTTTTTCAAACAGCAGATGGACACCCAATAGTGGGTCCAGAAATCAAGTGGCTCTCAGCTAACAAGTTAAAAGAACTTAGATTAAAGGTAGGTCATATCAGAGGTCATTACTCACAGAAAGAATAAGTACTATTTCTCAAAAAATGTTGATTTCACCTACATATATGCAACTGGTTACAAGGAGACCTGAGCTGGTCACAGTAAGAAATTTTCCATTGTGGGATGGGGTCAAATAGGTAGAAACCCTTCTCTAGGGCAACTCACACACATGCACACAAGGAAACATGACTAGAGCCATTTCTCAAAGCATTGATTATAATAGTGATTTATAATTTAGGAAACCATCTCTGTCAGTAGATGAATTGAAAGTGGTCTGTTTAGGGGCGCCTGGGTGGCGCAGTCGGTTAAGCGTCGGACTTCAGCCAGGTCACGATCTCGCGGTCCGTGAGTTCGAGCCCCGCGTCGGGCTCTGGGCTAATGGCTCAGAGCCGGGAGCCTGTTTCCGATTCTGTGCCTCCCTCTCTCTCTGCCCCTCGCCCGTTCATGCTCTGTCTCTCTCTGTCCCAAAAATAAATAAACGTTGAAAAAAAAAAAAAGAAAGTGGTCTGTTTATATTATGCAGTATTGAACTAGGTCCAACTATATCAGCATTCATAAATCTGAAAAGTGAAAAAAGCAAGCCGAAGAATATGTAAGTATGATACCAATTGTGAAAAATTAAAAAAAACCCACAAAACAACGCCATATATTATTTTCACTATATTTATATTTATATAAAAGAATAAAAATACTGGAAAGATATGCCATACGGTTTGGTAATTGTTGCCTCTGGAGAGTAGAAAAGGGACTCGGACTGCACATGGGAACAAAGAAGGTTTTATTTCTCATGTTTTTAATTGAAAATGTTCTTGAGAAAAATGCAATAAGGTAATAATTGCCAGTTTGGGGCAATGAATACACCACTGTCTGTTATATTTTTCTTTGTACTCACTGTAGTTTTTTTTTAAGTTTCATTTATCTATTTTGAAAGAGAGAGAGAGAGAGGGGAGGGGCAGAGAGAGAGAGAGAGAGAGGAGGAGGAGGAGAGAATCCCATGTAGGCTTCACATGTTGCCAGTGCAGAGCCCAATGCGGGGCTGGAACTCCCAAACTGCAAGATCATGAAATCAAGAGCTGGATGGTTAACCGACTGAACCACTCACGCACTCCCTCACTCATTGTAGTTTTAAAGATGTGTTTACAAAAAAAAAAAAAAAAAAAAAAAAAAAAAGATGTGTTTACACATTCTTTGATATTCCTCCCCTCAAGAGATGGAGTTTAATTTCCTTCTCCTTAAGTTTGGGCTGGATTTGGTGACTGGCTTCTAGAAAATAGAATATGGCAGAAGGAATGGAATGCCACCTTTAAGATAAGACCAGTAGCTAGGAAAGAAGATTCTAGCTTGTATCCTGGGTTCTCTCTCTCTCCTTCTATTCCTTCCTCCCAACCCCCTCTCAGATTTCTCATTCTGGGGGACCAGCTGCTAAGTTAAACGAACAGCCTTATGGAGAGGCCCGCATGGTGAGGAAATGAATCTGCTACCAACAGTCAGAGGAGTGAGGTCGTGTGATTCTTAGCCCCTTCAGATAACTGCCGTCCTGGCCGACAACATGACTACAGGCTTGTGAGAGACCTTGACCGAGAACCATACAACTAAGCCACTCTCAAATTTCTGACCCTCAGAAATTGTGTGAGATAATAAATGTTTATTCTATAAAGCTGCTAAGTGTTGGGGCAATTTGTTACATTGCAGTAGATAGCTATTGTAAGTTCTCTGTATTTATATTTTTTCTCAAAAAAGGAAAAATCTCTTCTAAATACATTTATAAGTCAATAAAACTTTAAAATGAAAGGAACAGAAAGAAACTATTACCTACTCCCTTAAAATATCAACACAAACCAAGAAGTCAAGTGTTTGAGGGTATCAGAGTCATAGAATGAAGCTTAAGAACATGAACTCTAGAGCCAGACAATCTAGACTTAATGCCCTTCCTCTGTGCCTCACTAGCTTTGTGACCTTGGGAAAGTTACCTAACCTCTCTGACCATCAGTTTCCTTATCTGTAAAATGGGAATAATAGTAGTTCCTGCCTCGTAGGTTTGTGGTGAAGGTTAAATGAATCTATTTGTCCTCTGTATTTCTGAGTTTGTTTCTATTTTTTGTTTATTTTGGTTTTTAGATTCCCACATATAAGTGAAATCATATGTTATTTGTCTTTCTCTGACTTATTTCATTTAGCATAATCTAGTATGGTGACAGGCAGTGACTGCATTTGTCATGGTGAGCATTGTGTGATGTATAGAATTGTTGAATCACTCTGTTGTGCACCTGAAACTAATATAACATTGTATGCCAACTATATTTCAATAAAAAAGGGCTAAATGGACCAACAAATATAAGGCAATTAGAACAGTGCCTGACATACAATGAGCACTTTATACATGCAACTTATAATTCTTAGTATTGTTTAAAGGCAGGGGACTTTAAAGATGATCTAATTCAACCCTTTCATTTTGTGAGTGAGGAAAATGGAGATTCTTCATTTAGGGCTTAGAGCTATTTCTTCCTTGAGATGTCATTTCCACAGGAATTTTCTTTTTCCTCCCTTTATGTTAATTATACCTACTGAATGTCCCAATTTGCAAGGAACTTTGTTGGGCTCCTTTACATACAGTACCTCATCTAATCCTTAAAATAATGTAGGTATTTTTGTTATCTCCGTTTTGAAAAAAACACTCAAACTCT